TTAGACCGCTGAGCCGGCATTCAATGGTGTTAATTTCTAACTTCAACTAATCCACTTTCTATTTTGTTTATAACGAAAGTTTGATTTGTTCTCATTTATTGAGGATTTTGTAAGAGAATGAACAATAATAATCTACATAATAAATTCTGTATTGATATCTCAAAATCAGGATAGAATCAATTAACAGGAATGAGGAAATTATTCGTTTTAACTTCGAGTACATGCATTGAAAGCGTTAGCAAGTATTTTCATTTGAATTATCAGACAAGTATTATGTTATTTTATAAGGTTAAATCTTTAACACTGGCTAACCAACTGATCAATGTTCAAAGAAATGTTGAAGAAATAATGGCAAATAATAGCAAACAAAATCAGGAAAATAGCGAATAAGTGGAGATGATGATGGTTTGTTCCAAGATGTCAAATATTGTACAAACTGGTAATAACTATCTCATTAATGAAGGAGTATAATATTCGAGTAAACAGTTCATCTGACCAAATGTGATCTTTTTTTGGTTTCGTAAAATTTCATGTATGCAATTTAATCGTTGTTATTGATAAAGAAACTTTTCAAGGTTGAAAGAGAGTTACTTTATGCAGTAATATTTTATGTTTTCTTGCTGTTTATTATTTATTTATTCATTTAAACACATAAACATTGGTATAAGAAGGCACCAAGTACATACGCGCCACACAAATCATTTGACTTTATAGTTTCCTTTTCAGTTAGCTATAAAAAACATCTTTCATGTTTTACAAGTTAAGGTTATTAAAAATGACTTAAAAATGCAATCATTTTGTGGTTTGTAGTCAAAATGGTACTACAGTATTGTTTCATCTTTTTTTCATTTAACATCAAGGAATCCTTCTAGAAATGTTACTGATGCCTGAACATCGATTGCCCCGACGCGCAATGCTGACTAGTGTTGGAGACGATTGGAATTAACTTAGGGGCGGCCAAACCAAAATGTGACATTAGTCCTTGAAGTCAATAACTTCTGGTCTGAGCCATGTTGGTAAATACAGACTATCGTAACCAATGGTTGGAGACACTGGGTGACATGGCTCTGAATCGATCACAATAATGTAGGTGTATACACTCTTTGTCTTCTCTTAAACCGTGACATAAATATTACTTTGTACGGACTTATTCTTTTCCCAGTATTATATCCTTATACATAATCTTTCTTTTATATATTACTACCATTGAAGTAACTATTTCTTTGAATTTGGTGTTCATCTTGTTGTGCTCATAAGATGTGGGAACTTGAACCGATGCATATATGTGCTTCGTCCTACGTTGTAGACGACTGATTGACCTTCTAGGCAATATGACATAATAGACCGAAAATAATAAGGAACTTTCATTGATATTTCAAGAAATATGCTAAAATTGAAGCTGTGATATCATAAGAAAAAACCCATTCTGATATAAGTAACAGTAACAATGAATACAACTGAGCTCAAGATAATTTTAATAGGGATTTATTTGTTCTTTTAAACTATATCATTATTCTAATAGTCAGGCTTTGATAAATGTTCTAGATTATTGTGAGTTACCGGAAGTTATTAAAATTTACAAATGTATTAAATGAAAATTATTTCATGTATTATCAATAATTTCTCATTATTATTAAATGATGTTCGTATTGAATTATCATTTATTTTAATTCATTGAACAATTTAATGTTAACTGTGGTGTTTGTATGAACTAATAATGACTGAATCAGATCATGGAGATGAGCACAATTTTGGTAAATGCTTGTTCTGTGATTCGTTTCACCCATTTAATTCATGTGTATTTAGTAATTCTAAATGCTTTAAATGTGTTGAGATTGGACACATTCAGTCAGTTTGTAATACTACGGTTCATTTCGAAATTAGGCAGTCATCAAGTACAAAGGAATCATTAGTTCATACAAATACCACAGTTAACTTTCATTATTTTTATTACATTTATATTCAATTATTATATCTGAACTAAATAAATGAATTTGGTAAATTATACATCTATGTATTTGGCAATAAAACATGGAAGATTAAATATTTAAGAATATAATATCCGTGTTCCATAATAAATGAAGAAATTTAATATACTCATTGTCATTCTTCGTGATTTCATCAAGATATTGTATAGTGTGAAGGTGAATTCAACCAAGAACTGATATAAGTTAAATAATCTATGAAAATCATAGAATATTAAACAAATATAACGTTTAAGTTTGAGCCTTTGGATAAGCGCTTGCTTAAATTAAATGACTACATAAGAATTAGTGGCTAGACTATAGTTTATGAACGAACCAATCAGATTTAAGATAACAGGTCTTGGATTTTGGCGTGAAATTCACACCCATTTGTCGAATTGGTATCTTGGCATTTTAGCTAATGTCAGTTCGTGATGAAAAACCGTAAATCTAATTCATAACCCCAATCATCAACTGTGAATCATAATCCTTACTCTTCAAACTGCTTTATAGCCTTCATTTAGCCCTATTAAGTAGGTAGGTGCTCTCAAGGTCACTGTAGGTCGTTGAAAGGTCGTCCATAAATTATAGTCTCATCGAACCAGTTTATTGACTAATTTCTTAATTTTTAAGATATAACTATATATCAGTAATAGTTTTTCGATAATGAACAGACCATCATCTAGAGAAGCACTGAATAAGTCAAAGAGTAATGGATTTCAAAATTTTTTTCATAGTTTAGAGTTTATCAATTGGTCTTTTTACAGAATAATCTACTATTCATGGTTAAATATAAGCACTAGTTACTTGGTAAAGCTTTACTCTTATTCTGTGTTTATCATATTTTTCAAATCTGTGATTATCACCATATTGATTTTCGATAAATTGTTATAGAACGTAAGATCATTCGATCCTTTTTTCTATGTACTAGATTATTGGTTTCACATATAAGTTGTTAACATGAATTGAAAATTTCATACATCATAGATTTATTTTTGACCTTTAATGTGTATTCAACCTGACTAGATATAAATCATATGTGATGATCAGTATGGGGTTGTGGAAATTATTATGTTATTGGCTGAGATCATGAACCGATTGATGTTAAACCACCACTGAAAACCTGGAAGCACTGAACGGCCGTTTCTTCCTACTGTGAGACTCGTCAGCAGTGCGTATCTACGATCCCGCTCTCAGGATTTGAACCCAGGACCTTCAGTCTCACTCGCGGACGCCCAACCCACTGGACCACTGAGCCGGTATCCAACAGTGTTCTTATCTAGCCAAGTGTTTAGTACTAAAACCTAATAGATTTCTGTGTTTAAATTAACATTTAGAACGTTTCTTTTGTATAACTCTTGTCTTAGTTGTTTAGTGTTCAAAATTTGTAAAGCGATGAGAATCTGGAAGTTGACAGAGAAGTCACTCTGGCAATTGCTTGCTGCTGAACACCTAGTGTTTTTCCTTCACTCAGATATGGTGATTACATATGGACAGCATAGTTTTAGAAAGTAGAACAGTATAAAGGTGGTAATAATTGAAGTACTCACTTCTCAGTTATTAACTGTTATGTTTTTAATTGAAACATGTTTTTTTGTTTACAGAGTAGAATTGATCCACACTTCTTGTTACGTTGAGGTCTCAATGATAATATCCAGACTCATTACAGATTAGACACATTAAATTGAGTTGAATACAACAAAATACAATTACTTTATGACTTTACAAGTTACTATTAAGTACTGTCAAAATAGAATCTAGCGCAAACATCCGCCATTTGAGTGTGAAATCCCTTTATCCTTAATACCTCGTTATCAGTCCTTATTAAATAATACCAAACCAAAAGCTTAGTCTGCGAAAATTGCGATAAATTTAAACAAAACAATGAAAGAGATTATTGTTTATCAAAATGAAAATGATACATTTTTATCATATATGTAAGTGTTTGATTTAAACTGATATGAATCTGTATTATTTTGAATACAGGATACTTTTTAAATTGAATTTAAGAATATTGAGACTGGTTAACAAGTTTCTTTACTGCTTATTATCTTTTGACATTGATTAATTAAAGTATTTACAAGATGAGTTATGATGTTGTATGGTGAAAAAGATTGGAAATTTTATTTCAAACATTATGAACATCATCGTTCCGATAGTTTATGTTTAAACGATGAGACTATAACTTTTAGACGACCTTTGAGCGACACTATGAAGACCTTGAAAGTGTTCACCTAATAACTAGAGCCAAATGAGGATTATAAACCAAATTGAGGAATTAGAATTGTGATTTACAATTGATGGTTAAGGTTAGAAATTAGATTTAGATTTTTCATCACGAAATGACATCAGCTATAATGCCAATACTTTATTTAGCCAGACAGATGGGTGAATTTCGCGCCAAAATCCAAGACCTGTTATCTTACACCTGATTGGTAGAGTAGTGTAATGGTGATGTTCATTATTCTCTAATTGTTAATTATTTGATTAAACCTACATGAAATATTATTTCAAAATAATAATGATTGTAATCCTAATCATAAATCGTATAAATATTTCACAGTTCTATCATAATCTCACATGTCTACTGAATATTCTATACTAAATAGCACAACTTTATTTTTGTCAGTATTTAAGGGATAAAAAGGGAAAATAATCTATGTCGTTACAAGTTTATATACCTATATCTGAGTGAAAGCAAGACACATCAGGTCGAATGTAGTTTTTTTTTGTATTTTTTCTCTAACTAACCCAATATATAAATATATACATATGTAAATAAGCCTATAGGAGATGAAAGTGTAAAACACAACAGTAATCATAACAACATTAACAGACATATAGTAAAAACAAAATGAACCAGTAATCAGATAGCTAATTTAACCGAATTTATTTACATGTTTTCTATGCTTATATATAAATATGATTCATAGATGTGAATACATTTACAAGAATGCATTAAATACAGTTTACATATAATTGTAATTTACCTTTTTCTTAAATAAATTTTTAAAGATAAACTAATTTAAAATAATAATGTCAATTACAGATAATAATTTGACTACATCTGAAGGTAAACGTTTAGTGGCAGCAAAAATTGCTAGTGCTGTTTCAAGTGGAGGTAGTCCAGCAAGAGTAATTAATGCATTTATACAAGTAAAAGATTATCAAGGATTAGATAAATATTTAAGTAAACATAAAGTTCCAACTGATATATTAACTGCATCATTACAAAGTGCATGTATGAGATCAGATAGTGAAGCTGTTGGTACATTTGCAAAACATGGTGGTAATGTAAATCATACTGATCAATTTGGAACTACTTTATTACATTTTGCTATGCGTGGTGGTGGTGATGAAAATGTTATTAAAGCATTAGTTGCACATGGATTAGAATATCATTCATGGAGATCTGCAGGAATGCCTTTATTACATTGGTCTTGTAGTACTGGATTAATCAATTTAGTTGAGTAAGTAAATCGTTATGATAAATATTTTTATTCAGATAAAAACTATGTGTTTAATTAATCTATTTAATTTTATGTATGTGTAGTTAGTTATATGATTTCAAATATTTCACGGTTTCTTTAAATCTTTAAACTTGATCTACTCTAGATAAGTTGAAAGTTTGCATTTCTATTTGTTAGAACATTATAAATGTATCATTTATAGTAAGAATTTTTTCAGGTTGTTGTATAAGTAACTGACTAAGAGATATTGGCAAATTCATTGAACCTGTTAAACTTGCTGAATTTTTAGACTGATATTGTATTAACATTATGTAATCAAAGTCAAGCTAGATTATATCTATCAGTGTTCAGTAACTTTAAACATGAAATTACAACTGTATTTTAAAGACATGCAATGGCAAACTAGTACTATTCGGAAAGTTACGGGTAAACACAAGTGTGACGAATTATCGTATTGTTTGAGCTTGAAATTTCTTAACATACCAAGTCGAAAGTATAGACGTTACATGGAAAACTCTTAACAATAGTTTAGTGAGCCAGCATACAAAAATTAATATTTGTAAAACTCAATCAAGTTCCGATAAACCATATTTTATGTTTAGTGTTTTTTGAACAATTTACTGTCTCATTTTTTGATTATTTGTAATTATGATTGTTGTAAGACTAGAAAATCTCATCACAGCTTTTGTTAACTTGCATCACCTGTGGTGAAGTTATGGTGTTCGACTGATTACCATAATCTAGTACACCCTCAGCTGAGGGCAGTAGATAAAAATGGCGTTACGGCTGGTGAAATAAATAAGGGTTACGTAAACAAAGTTATGCCTATCTAGAAGAATAATTTCGGCTGATGTAGTAGTAGTATTATAATGTTCAAAAGCTTGAAATTCCCAAAACGAAGACTTGGTACCAGTCCATGAATTTGTTGTCTGTTGATCTCAACTGGATGGGGAGATTCAGATCATCTGATTGTGGTCTACACGATTGTCGTAACTAATGACTAGAGACTTTGAGCGACATGGCTCAGAATCGTTGACAGTGGCGCAAATGTATCTTTTTGTTACTTTGACAATGAATTTGGTGGTTTCATCTCGTTGTCTAATATGATGTAGCAGCTTAAACCGATGCAGATACATACTCAATCCGTTTCTGCTTAAAGCTAATTGAATACCTCAATGAAACTTATTTTATTAAGAGTGGTTGAGATATACATTGCATAAGATTTACATGCCATGATGGAATATCAGTTAAGGTTTACTTTTTTTCACGATTTTTCTCCAAAAGAATGTTATTTTGTCATCAAAATTAATTTAAATTTATCCATGCAGTACTGATAAACTGTCTTAATTAGATAAATTAACCCTTGAGATGTAATTCAAAATGTAGTAATAATTATCAGAATAGAGGTTCGTGAAAATTGTAATAATTTAATGGTTGAATTCATGGGTCGATTTAAGCTAGACCACCATTGAAAACCTGGAAGAACTGGAAGGCTTCCATGTTATTAATGTTTTTGTATAGGAAATTATTATAAATGATGATTAGTTTATTATCAATTAAAAGGTGTAGTTAAATAATTGGAAAATTAAAAAGAATGAAGACATTTCAAAGGATAAACTTTTTTCTTAAACTGTATAGTCATTCACATTGAGATCATGAGTCAATCAAAACTAGACCACCATGAAAAACTTGAAAGTACTGGACAGCTGTTTCGTCTTATTATGGGACTCTTTAGCAGTGCGTTTGTTTGTTTTCCAAAAATTCTAAATGGCTGTCATTTTCACGTGTTTTGTTTCGTGTATTAGCTTAATAAACAAACATAAGAATTTATATTTTATGCATAAATCATTTAATATTAGTTTATTTTTTTTTAAAAAGGTGAGAACGTTAATAAGTAGTTGATTTATTTGGTCATTTTACAAAACTGTTCAATGTTTGTTTTAATAATAAGAATAAGAATAGGAAGAATAAGAAGAATAGGAACTATGTAATAATATACACAGTTATGTTTTATATTTATTATGAAACTTCCATGCTTACATTTCCTTTAAATGAGTTATTTATATGATATTCCTCCAACATAATTATTAACTTTCTCTAAATTTAAACTAGTCATTTATCATCAATATATTTGTTTAAATTGTAATATATCATGGAATATGAAAACAACCAACCAATCAAACCAACACGATACTTTTATTTCAAATGACTAACGATACAATTTCTTGATAACAGGTATTACATTATAAAGACATAAGAAGCTATTTTCTCTCTTCTCCTTCTTCTTCCTCTTCATTTTCGTGTCGTTAAAGTTACTTTTTTCCGTTCAGTGTTTTTATATACCGGTTAAGACTTTCTTTTCAAAAGAATACAATACAGTTTGACTCTAGTTTGAAAAAGTTCCTTTAGAATATAAACAAGGTATTTACATTTAAATAAATTGTTTCGTTCACTTGAAGTCATGGAGACAAGTTTATTGTATTATAATCATTTTATAATGTGTACTACTGATGTCGATAAATATAAATAATATGTATCATCAATCGAAAGTAAAAAAGCCTGGCAGCAGAAGGTCTAAAAGATTATAGAAAGTCATGAGAACAGTGAATAATTGCTATGGAAATAAAGAAACAGTCAAATATGATCGACATTTTGTAAATGAAGTAATTATTTCACTTGTTGAAATCATGAGTCAATTGAAGCTAGACCACCATGGAAAACCTGGAAGCACTGGACGGCCGTTTCGTTCTATTATGGGGCTCCCCAGCAGCGCGCATCCATGATTCCGCGCCTCGCAAGATTCGAACCCCGGACCTATCAGTCTCGCGCCAGGCGCTTAGCCAACTAGGCCACTGAGCCGGCATCCAACGGTGCTAATATCTGACTGATAGGTCCTGGATTCGAATCCCGCGTGGTGTGGAATCGTGAATGTGCATCGCTGAGGAGTCCCATACTAGGACGAAACGGCCGTCCAGTGTTTTCAGATTTTCTATGATGGTCTAGCTTCAATTGACTCATGATTTCAACAAGTGAAATTTCTAAAAAATCTCCACAAAACCCATTCTGATAAGAAGTAATTATTGTATAGTTCTCAGATTTTACTAACAGATTCTGTAATGTTGTACTAAAATACATTTGACTGTTCCTATTGATGTTCTCGTTTACTACAACTTAACTTCTTTCAAATGATCATCATTAATTTAGTATATTTTAATTACAAATCAGAGATTTACGATTTAACTATAACAAAAAGGTGTAATAATTAATAGGTAAATCGTTTTTTATTTGTTTTTGCATAAAACTACATTTATTATGATAGACATACTGACTGTGAATGTTCAAGCTAACAAAATTTTAGATGGAAATTATCATTCGTTTTTTTCAACCATATGTACATATTTATTTATTAAACTTTTAACATGAATTATCTATAGTGTTACAAAAAGTAATTTTCAATCAAGTAACTTGTTTAAACTTCCTATCATTTCACTGTAGGGAGCTTGTAGACATTATTAACTTGATTGTTTAAATAGCAGACTTATCTTAATTAAACAGTCATCTGAAATTAAGAAGCACTAGAAAGTGACTGATTGACTGATCTAAATCATTATTCTAAGCTTTAACAGATTCATCTTTGTGATAGCTTATTTCTGAGAAGTGAATAATTATTTATTAATGTATAACGAAAGTAATTTACTCATAATGTATTTGGTCAGTTTTATTACTAGTAGGCAAATAAATAGTGTAAAGATTGTTTTTACCACTTATTGATGTCAGATGAAAAACTAGCGTAAACAATAAAGTAAGGAAATTGGTGATCGTTTGTTAGTTTGAGACTTCTCAATGTCCACGTCTACAGTACTGCAGAAGACCAAATATGGAGCAATTAAAATTTATGAAGTACTCGATAACTTTAGGTCAGTAATTAAGTTGTGGAAATTTGTTAGTATTTTAAATGTCATCACCTTTATTTAATGTTATCTATGAGCTACTGTACAAATTCGCTTACCATCTACTGTCTTATACTTAAACAATGATTCTTTACTTGATGTCAGCTGTTACCAAATTTTACTATCAAATTATACAAAATTTTCAAATGCAACCTTTATAACTGACTTTTTATGACTTAGTGTAAACCACTTCTTTAGTAAACAAATAAAAAGTGTTTTATTCTCTCTGAAAAAAAATTCAGTGATGAATTAATCTGCTATGAATTTCACTTGGAGATTAATAAAAAACGTTGGAATCTATTATTGCTATCGTTACATACTTGCGGCTATTACGCCTTCGAAGCATAAAGTGTCGAACAGCAGTCTCCAACCTATTCTGTACAGACTTCTCCTTTCCAGTTGTTCTCAGGTGATATCCATTCTTTTAATATCTACCTCGAAGTGCTGAAGCAATCTGTTCATTAGTTTATCCCTCTTATTTTCTTTTGAGTATTCCAATTTGAGCCTTAAATATTTTTCTACTTCAGATCGTAGATTCCATTACTTAAGAGGCAGTGAACTTTCCCAAAAGACAGTTTCCCCATGAGTACATTAACATAAAATAAAAAAGTTATTTGCCGTAATTTAGTTGTAGGAATACAATGACAACATGTAATGAAATTAAAATCTCATTAACATTTTCTAATGCTGTTAGAATGAAGCAATTTTTAAGAATGTGGCTAAACTGATTTGTAATGTTTAATGATATTCATTCAAAGAAACGGAAAAAATATGCACAAAAAAGGTTATCTATGGGTTAATTCGTGTTGTTTATAAGAGAATTAAAACAGAAAGTCTTAAAATAGATCAATCTATAAGAAACACGAACGTATATTGACAGAAAAATGATACACACAGGAAAATGAAGCAAAATTAGTCATTATAAAAGTAAAAAAAAAAAATTACGATGGTGAATCATGAAGATAATTTTCACAAGGCAGTAGTTGCATTAAAAACAAAAAAATATTGCCACAATTTCTTTGGAAACACTGTAAACTAATGACTGATCAG